CCACAGCTTTGAGCTCCTATATGGGAAACGTCCAATAAACATCTGTTTGCTGTGAGGTGCTTAGACACTCTGGAGACATGAGGGTGAATTTCAGGGTACAGAGGTGCTACGTTAGGAGCAGGTGATGCTCTGAAGTGCCTGGGAGATGAAGAAGGAACAGATGATGAACTATTAGTGCAGAGCTTCTCTGGAGGCCTGGGCTTAGTGATCAGGGAGCAGTGTTCCAGGAAGGTTACTACTGGAGGGTTTCGTGTTCTCAGTATATTTCCAACGTTTTAATTTGGTGTTATTTTTGTAATCCTTACCTACGGGTTTGTGAAGGTTCTCTTGTCAGGTGAATTTGCTGAAACTGAGAGTCATCCGCAGCCTCTGTACATTTGCATTATGGGATTTGAATGACAGAAATACTTTGGTTAAGGGACTTGAACTTTGGGAACAGATGGCACTTTTGGCATTTGTATAAATACATCAGAAAACTCAGAGCACCTTCAGCTCAGATGTCTCCCACTAATATGAACCCAAGGGGATTTAATCAAGGAGCACAGAGTCTCCTGAGTGCAGCAACTTTGAAAGTTCCACACAACCATTCATCCGAGGGTTGTTGTAGTGTACCTAATAAAACAGGCTAGTCTATAGCACATTAGCACTGTGTGTCTCAGAGCTGAGGCTGTAGCTTTCATTAACATGTATGGTTAGGGAACCAGAGAAAGTGAGCTGACAGAACTCACAGACGGCTGTTTATTGTTCTCTGTGTGGGAGGGAAAGATGTCTGCCATTATTACCACTGCAGTCTTCATTAAGAACAAATAAACAGAACCCGATCCTTCAGCAAAGAGCTCATTGGGGAACATATGGAGCATAAACCACTCCACTGTCAGAGCCATGTCAACACTTACTGCTCGGTTACAACTAATTTTGTTGTCAAACAATGTGTATAATAATAGGGGAAAAGAAAGAAAATAGAAGAAACTGTTGAAAGATAAGGTTTATTTAGAAATATTAAGTTTTGAATGCATATTGCATAATATTGCAATTGATTCATGATCACTGCACATATTATATACTGCTACCCAATGCCTGTAAGTTAATATACTGCACATATGCCATTGTCGTGTCAATATATTCCTTGAACTACGTCTGGAGAGCGTGTGGTGAGGCAGCGCTAGAACAAGTATTACGGTAATATAAAAGTACTGTCAGAGAAGCTAATGTAACACAAAAATACAAATTACTACAAAATGAAAGGATCGGTTGTGAAAATACATCTACACATCAGTGTGATGGAGTGTTGTCAAAACTGAATTTTACCAACCTGTAACACGGTGTATATATTATGTTCTCAGCAAAAATGTTCCTGGTTGCCCTCCCTTGTGTTAGGACTCATCATTAATGCTGCTACAGCATGACACTGGCACAGGAGAGACATGCAATCAGCACCTGAGAGTTACTGCTCATTGCATCACCTGTTACCCTCAAGAACACAAAGCACAGCTAACTGCCCTTCCCTTCAGACCTGTCCTACCCTCCCGCCTCAGCAGCACCTGTTTCCTCAGTGCACTCAGCAGTCACACAGCTGTCACAGCCCCGCTGCCTCCAGTACAGTGACTACAAAAGCCTGGCAGCCTGGATGCTGTAAATAGAGATGGCCAAATGAAAATGACAATTGTTGTCAGCATTTGTACTTCCTGTAGCACTTCTTTGTTGTCTTTTTAACCAGACAAGACTAAACCTTAATTTGAGTCCACGAACATCAATGCTATAATGTTTACTCAGTGTGTAACTCTTACTTTATCCTTGTTAAATGGGTTTTTAGAACTAACCAGTAAAATATGTTGGCAAATGTTGCTGATGATTATTTCATTTGTCATAAATTATTTTATTCATTTAGAAAATAATTTAATTTGTGTTGCATTATGGGTACTGTGGATATTCAATCAAAATAAAAAAAGTGTAGAACGTAAAAGTAAGCTGGTTGACAAAAAATGGAACCTGAGGAGAACATAGGGAGCGGGGCCTCACCCCTAAAGCCCTTTAATCATCAGGTCAGGCTCAACACTCAGAGCACTTTACTACAGCGCACTGCATTTCTTTGACACACACACAGTGGTCAAGGCTCAAATGTCAGTGCTGTGGCTGCTGCTATTTGTTAGGTTGTTGGTTTTGTGTGATTAGAGCTATGTGACCCCTGCCTGGTTGAAATCCCATAAATGAGTTTGAGAGTGTTGGGTGCTATTTTGAGATGAATGGAGCCGAGGGGCTGACATCAAGTGACAGACGCCTGGGAGTGTCACAGAGGCCCACGTAGCCTTGCATCAGCTCTTTGTTTCCACACATACGTAGTCCATCATGTACAAATAAACACCTCAGATGAAGTGAGTCACTTGTACGTTGGTGACCATATGGGTCAGGGTGTATCCACTGATCAAATTTTAACATAACATTCTAGATTACTTAAAAAAATTCTCTACAGATCAGAATGTAGTCCAGTTGTGCCAATATGCAAATATCATAATGACAAAGAAATATTATACTGCAAATATTTGCACATTCAATGCCACTGCTTACAATCCCTGCACTACATCCTACTGCAGTCATCTGACACATTTACATTATAGGAACTGAAGTTCATTTGGATACTTATCTTTATGTGTATTCAGTCTCCAAATGCACAAAACCCAAAGAGTTTGCCTGCAACTCTGCACCACATGACAGTGTGCTTTGTCCAAGGTTTACATCTGTATGTAGATTAGAGGAGTTTGAGATCAAACCTCTGACCTTTAGACAGAAGGTCAGGGCTGTTTCATGTTCTACATCCATTGCTCATTGCACACCAGACTCCTTTGTTTATATCATTTACCTCAATGTATATATTGTATTTTATTTTCAAATATTACATTTCTTTACTGAACTTGAACTTTGACTTACAGGTTCTGCACTTCACCGCAGCAGGGAAATGATAAGAGTAGGGGGGAAGAAAGCCTGTTTATCTACTGATTACAGTTGTGTTTCTTCACTGCTGTTTTCATTAACAAATTTAACATCAACATTATTCTTCTTGGATCCCATTTCCGTGTTATCATGTAAGGTTTTGATCAGCCAGATTAAAATTGAAGCTGCACAATATTTACATGATGCAGTCTGGTGTGTAGGGTTGCTGTGTGCTGGGAGGTTCACCATGGGATAATAAGTAATCCCCCTAGGGCTATGCCTGGTCCCCTGACATCTATCTTTAATAATTGGCTCTCTCTCCCTCTGTCACACACACACACACACACACACACACAGAGATACACAGCTGACCCTGATGAACTCCTCCCATAGCCCATTTACCTTTTAAATCTAGCCTTGAGCATTGTTTCCCCAAAGAACTGTAACACCCACAGGCCGTGTGTGTTTTCTCTACTGTACCACACCACTATGGAAGGCCTGCTTGTTAGAAACCACAAAATCTGACTAAAGTACTGAGGAAAAGCAGGGCTTCGCATTTGGAGTGAACCAACTGGGAATTGCTCTTATTTGTTTCTAGGGATGAAGGAGACTGACAAATGAACCCTCATGGGAGGGAAGCTGTTGTATACTCCACCCCCACTACGCCTGGCCCTAGAGTCTTCATTATGACCAGAATAGAAGCCTTCTTTTTAGCACGTTAGCACATTTTCAAAACAAGCCGTGGACCTCAGAGAATCGGAGGTGCAGCAGCAGGAGATTTGAGAATTGGGAATTTCTCGTCTCCCGTCTAAAGATGTTTGCCTGCAGCAGTCTCTCTTGACCGGTAATAGCATTTGTATGTGGAGTAGACTGACATGGGTGAGCGGGATGGAGTAAAGAGCTGCCAGGCTTTCTTGCTCATTGATGCATGTGAGCCTTGAACAGGGAGGTGTCTTACGTGCAGCCTTCCAGAGACGGGATTATAGTTCCTGTGTGAGGGTTAGTTAGATGTGAAGAGTGACATCTCTGCACCATTGTAGAGACTTGTTATTATTGTGCTTGCCCAAAGATGCCTATTAGGTTCTATTGGAAAAACACTTGAAGCAAAAAGGAGCTTTTTCTCTCTTGATTGGCTGCCAGAAATCCCTATAACCTCACGCACGCAGCCAGAGTCAATAGCTGTTGATTGCTGATATTGATTGTGATCCTGTACCAGGAATTACTTCCCTGACCCAGGAGGACAAGCACATGCACCTGAGGCAGCTAATACCTCACTTAGCATTTTAATGCTAATGAGTGAGGCTCTGGTAGAAGCCCGTTAGTGGAGTTGGTCCGGTGGGAGTAGTGTGTCAGTGAGATGGAGGGCCACTGTGACAGGCTGCAGCTCCGCACAGCAGACTGCTGTCTTTGCCCTGGGGAGCTGGGTCCCATCTGCCCCTTTTTTGGCAGGTGAAGGATTTAGCTGGCTTTGCTAAAGTAGGAGGAGCCCACACTCCTGCCCGCAAACCCTCCTGAGGTTTGGGGAGAGTTAATTACAGTTTATGTATGCACTGTCATCCCCCATGAGCCTCAATGTCTCTGGAGCAGCCAGGCTGACAGTGGGTTTCTGAGCACTTTGTTCTGTAGGAGGGCGCCCCCCTGCAGAGGAATACCCTGGATAGAGCTTAATAGCTGTTGTTCTGTGTAATTTCAACATTGAACAAGAGTTGTTTTTAGGACTCCAGATTAATTCACACTTTGTATGGAGCTATTAATTATAGTTAATTACATGCATAAATGTGTATAATGTGCAGCAGCAGCGTAGCAGCAGCCTGACATTGAGCAACCTTTCTAGAAATAAATGTAAGGTACCACAGCATGAAACGCCACATCTGGTGCCTCATTTCATGTGACATTAGTTAAATCAGTGTTTCTCAAATGTTGGATGTCAAACATGTGAGAGAAAATTAAACCAAAAATACCATGTCTTTACCAAATAAAAACAGAGAAAATCTCTTATTGTGTTATTGTGCATCATGTTATTTTCATAAGACCCATTTTTTTTAACATCTTCCATTCCCTGTTTTTTCCAGGTCCAGATTTTAGCATCAGTGCAATCTCCAATGGCAGCCAGGAGCCTCAAGGCCCAGGCCTCCTCAAGGTGTCAGGCCTAGAGCGCAGTCAGGAAAGGAGCCAGGAGAGCTGCAAAGACTCTCAACCTCCTGCTTCCAACAACCCCAGTCAGACTTCACCGCTGGAGGTCCTCCCTGTCCCTCAGCCACAGCCCTCGGGGCCAAGGCCACAGTCCCCTCCCTGGAGCCACACAAACGGCCCTACCCAGGTGGTGCCCCCTACACACCTGCCCCCACGTTCAGAGGCTCATCCCCAGCCTCAGACAGCCACAGACCTGCCTCCGGTCCAGAGCCGCCAGGCAGCGCCGCCACCACCTCCTCGACCCCAGCACCAGCCTGAACTGCTTTCTTACCCCCAGCCACCACCGAGACCCAGCCCTCACCCACATCCACCATCACCTACCCTGAGAACACACCACTCCCACCAACAGCATCCTAATCAGGCAGGGCCCCACCGGCCCCCATCACGCTGCAATCCTCGACCCCTGTCTGCCTACAACAGCATCAACCTTAACGGTCACAGGTGAGGCTGAACCCTTTTATATGTAACTCCATCATTTACAGTCAGTCAGACCTTATCATGGGGATGGTGGGAAGGTCATATTTTGGTCCGTAATTTTCATTGAATAGAACTGCAAATTACAGAATCAAACCTTAACATTTAGTCACATTTTCTTTGAGACAGTTGTAGGCTTGTCTTCTCAGTGGACATCATTTTCCTCATTGTAAAGTAGGTCTCCGTGAACATTTTTACACCTTTTCACTTAATTGTGGACTTATTGGAACATTTGAACAAACACAGAAGAATATAAAATTTTAAAAATAATCACACTGATAAACAATGAAATAAGAACAAAATGTTAAACAGTGTAGTGCGTTGTGTGGCCTAGTAGTAGACTCATGGTCCAGTACTGGTATATGGGGCTTAAAGTTGATGACCTCTCTACTGTAAAAATAATATTTTTCAGAAAAATACTAATTTTGTAAAATAATAATAATAAAAAAGAAACTTTCAAACTTGATTAACTTTTTTAATGAGACTGCAAATAACAACAGAGCCCAGTTTTTGTTATTGTTGAGATTCACTGAGACCCCAGGACTCCAGCCTGGCTTCTTCAGAACCCAGTAGGTCCCAGAAACAGCCCTGCTTCAAAGGCTCTGAGGACTTGGCTCCTGTCTCCCCCTCTCTGTGCCAGCTCTGCCAGGCTGGCTGTGTACCAACAAGGCCTGGCACCTACTGTGAATAATCATGGCTACAGCCCACACCAAAGAAAGAGCGCTGCAAATGAGCTTTTAGGCTTAGCATGTGAAGCTGTGGATACACATTCTCTGTGGTTGCCCCTGGGAAACACCCCTCCACACACACACACACACCACACACCACACACACACACACGGTACTGATGTACCCTACAAAAGACTTTTGCTTACAATTGCACAGCATCTCTTCTTTGCCTCCTATTTCTGATTCACACGTGCACTACCGGGCTCTGGAGGAAGTGCTTCAACTGAAGATGCTTGAAGACAGATGCTCTGTGTGTTGTTTGCCAGTGGCGTTTAATATGCATCTGACGCTACTGTGTGAATGTGTTTTAGGGTTGTTGTTTTTTTTTCGCAAATCACATTCACACAGCATTCCGTGAAGCGCAAGTGAGATGTGCGGAGGTGTTTGCAAATGGAGGACAGATAAGGTGTGAAGACACTGCACTGAGAAATGAGCATCAGAGCAGAGATTAGGGAGTGTGCAGGATTGGCTTTTCATTTCTGACTGATTTAACACAGCTCCTCTCTCTCCTTCTACAGCAGCAGCAGAAGTAGTACCCCAGGCACCAAGCCCCACGGGCCTCCTGGTCCTTCCTTCCATCTCCCCCACCACCCACCCCCTCCTAGTGCAGCAGCAGCGGCCTCCGCCTTCCCCCTGCCATTGGCAGCTAACCAGAGCGCCCCCCACAGCTTCCCACCTGCCTTGCAGTCCTCGCCGCACCCACATCACCCCAATATGTTCGCTCCTCCAGCAGCCTTGCCTCCACCACCTCCATTGACGTCTAGCACCCTGCCAGTACCTGGACACCCTGCTGCTGGCGCTGCCTATTCAGGTAAGATGCACACACTGCTGGGAAATGTCGCCACACTGCCCCCAAGTGGTGTGGTAGAAAACATTTATTTTTGCCAGTAGTTTCTACAGACATGATAGACTTCCTCAAAATGTGAAATGTCCTTGCACAGTTAACATGAATAACAACACAACATAAAAAATATAACACAAAATTTACAATTTATGTCTGCACTAAACATACCATTGATAGTACTTAATAAGGGCTGAGCATGATTACATTACAGTGTGTCAGTCATCATATTTTTCCTGCCTTCTGGGTATTGTATAAGTAAAAAAAGGCAGTCCAAAGGAATGAACAAAACACCTGTGAGGTAAATCTATATTATGTGCATATAGAAATTCTGCTTCCTTTCAATGACATCTCGCTCCCTTTTGTAATCAGCCTGTCTTTTTGATTTGAGGGTGTATTTCACAACAACATCTGCTGTGGCGGTAATACAGAAATATCAAGTCCAACATGAAATCTGAACTGATGTGCTCCACGTCTGACATTTCACATCTCTGTAGTTCATAACGTCTTACCGCTCTAAACAATCGATTCTCGTACAAACAATAATATCCTCCATCAAGTCAAGCCACATAAAACAGTGATCACAGAGGCGGTTCAGATTTCATTGTCGGTCTGCTGCCGTGCTAAATGTCAGGGTCGGCGTGGGGGGAAGGGGACACGACTCGCCCTTTGTAACATTTTAAGAAGCTGCATTTTAACCTTGAATGGCGTTCATGTGTGAGAAATCAATTTAGTCAATATGGAACGGAGCAAGCGGGATCATATTCAAAAGATACTAATGAAAATTTTATGAAGAGAAAATTCCATCCCCATTCCCAGACCAATAAAGCTTGAAATGAATTCAGAAAATATTGTAGTGAGACACCGCGGAATAGGAAGGATAAGGTTACTCTGGAGGAGACATAATCTCTCAAGCCCGGCTTTGTTGAATGTGGAAGGAAAGCCTGTGATTACTTGAAATCTATTCTTTCTCCACAGGCAGCACAGAGGTTATTGGAACAACAGATGTTGTTCTCTCTGAGGAGCTGTAGTGTATCACATCACAGCGTTTGACGGTTCCAGACGTCAGTCACTTTTAATCATCTGCAACCTCGCGCCGACTTAAAATGACATGCTGATAATCATAGTCATTTCCTGGTCCTTCCTTACTCATACTTTATATCTAAATCATATTTGGACTCAGACGTTCACAGCACTCACACTGCCGTGCTGAAGCCTCCAGGGCTTTTTATGAAGCGTCAAGTAATAAAGAGGACTTTAAATTCAAATGGCAAATGTATTTATATTTTTTGTCAAAACGTACATTTTCAGATGGCAATCTCAAGCACTATATGTATCACATTATTACAAGGTGTATTGAGTTTTCCTGAGATCCCTCTTTCTAAAGCAGGGGCCTCAAACTCCAGGCCACTTCTGGCCCGCAAATCTCCCACATCCAGCAACAGACTACATTTTAATGATAAATACATTTTGACCTAGGATTTAGGCCATCTAAATGACAATGTAAAGACCTCACAGGTTTTCTCAGGTCTGAGTCTCACCACTATTTTCTGGACTAATCCTCATTTCTCAATGACTGATTCCTCATCAGTCATTTCTTATATTCATCATTTTATTCCATATTTATATTAATAGTTGTGAATAACTGTGTTTTAACTGTGTGTCTACAATTTAAAAAAAGTTCGGTTTATTGTCACAGCGAAACAGGAAGACCAGATCAAATTTGCTTATAGAAAAAATAGGAAAACATTTTTTTTATTCAATAAAAGTCAAATGAGTTGCTGACAGAAATAGTTTTTGTTCGCCTGCTCTGGACTGATCTGTGATTAGTTTGTGTTTCAGTCTGTAGAAAGTTAAAAGATACAAACAGTGAGTGTGTTTGACTCTGATGTCGGAGGAAACATTTGCTAAACTTGTCAGACTTTTACTTCAGTGTTTATTGATTGATTGATTGATTTAAAATGACTAAATTCATTGGTTTATGCAGTAGATGTTTTCCCTCCTAAAAGTTTCAGCTCAGCATGATAATTGTATTGTTGTCTTCTGACTTGATAAAACATTCAAATCTCAAAGACATGACGTGTTGGAGGCTGTTGCATTTATCAGCATATATTCAGTGCAGCCCTCACTTGTCCAGGGTTTGTCGTTCATTTCTCCATCTTACCCATTCTTCTGTGTACTTCTTTTATTCCAGAGCAAGACCTTCTACGTCAGGAGCTCAACACCCGTTTCCTGGCCTCCCAGAGCGCTGACCGTGGTGCCTCCTTGGGCCCCCCGCCCTACCTGCGCACGGAGTTCCACCAGCACCAGCATCAGCACCAGCATCAGCACCAACACACCCACCAGCACACCCATCAGCACACCTTCACGCCCTTCCCCCACGCCATCATGCCCACCCCAGCACCGCCCATGGTGCGTACCCCTGCCAGAAATGTGAGGATAAGTAGAAGACAACTGCACTGGTTTGGAGGGGGGGTCGTTGTGGGAATGATTTTACCACCATGACCAGAGTGTTTTTATCCGTCCTTCTATAACGACGGTAACATGTGTGGAGGAGTCGGTGGACGATGAGTGTTTTCACTCAATGGGTGAAGATTTAACAGTTTGACATGTGTGTGATTACCACACTGCAGGAGCCCGTGGGTTGCTGTGGCAGCGGGCGGTGGCTCAATGATGACCATGTGTGTCTGTCCGCAACCACAATGATGCCTTTATTCTCTCCTGAAAGCCTTTCTAGTGTTTTCTCTGGCATACTTGAGGACTCCAGTCTCGAACGCTGTTATTTTCTAAATTGGCAATAACTCGCCCAAAGCATGTTAAGTTCAGAGCCAGCTTTCAAAACATAATATACTTAATTCATTCTGAATTTAATGACATCATTTGGGGCCATTTGGGGGTTTTATGACTGGCAAATGCCTTGTGTTAAGAGCCTCGCTGTTTGTTGGGGGAGACCACAGGCAATGGGTGGTTGGGCCTAAAAGTCACATAAACACACACACACACACACACACACACACATACTCACATGCATTTATAAGTGCCTGGCTCACAGAAGGGTTGCTTGGCTCTGATGATACCTCAAAGGCAGCATGGCCAGGCTTCTGACAGCTAATGAGGTCATAAAAAGCCTCTTTATGGCTCCGCTGTTTAGTCTTGACTGGTGAAATGTTCACTCTGGGCCTGTGCTGCACCACTAAAAGGAAACCAAATGAGACACAGAGCTCACGCTAGTTTATAAGGTCTTGAGATGATCACAAAAGGAAGAGGATGAAAACAATCTTCAAGTCTGGAAGTCGTTGAACTCTGATCTTCACGACCGTAAACTGTGGTGTAATGTGTTTAAAAATATATATATATATATATATGATGTGATCGTTTGTGTATTGCTGTCAAATAACCGTGAGAGACAGCACCGGTGCCTGTGAGTGGTGTGTAGGTCATGTGTTGGACTGAATGTGTTCTCTCCATACTTACTCTGTGTTCTTATTTCTCCCACAGTTTGAAAAATACCCAACAAAAGTCGACCCCTTCTACAGACACAGTGTGAGTTTCCGTACTGTCTGCCTGCAAATCGCTTTGTTGTTTGGTCGTTACACTATTTAAGCCCATGCCAGTTTGGGTTTTATGTGTATGTGTGTCTGTGCGGGTGAGTGTGTGTGTGTGTGTGCTGGATTGCATTAAACCCTTCATCCTCGTCCTAATGGTTACTGTGTGCTTCCAAGCTGTAGCATTTCAAGCATTTCACCCTCCAGCCTTAGCAAATGTTGTGATTAATGAAACAGCGCTGGATCCTTAGACCTCGGAGCACAAGATTTATTGTGCGTGCATGTAAAGTTGAAATTATTCAGCATAGAAATTAATACCGACGGAGATGGTATTACAGAGGAGTCTGTGTTAGCGCCAGAGGAATATTATATCTCTGTCTGGCTTCCTACTCTTCATTTGCATTTGTCTGCGTACAGCAGTGCCTGGCTCTTTGTTACTCACTAAAGGGAACCTGCACTGATGCCCACTTTTCTATCATGTTTGATGAAGCTTCCACTCGCCTGCTGTTTTCGCCTGCAATAACAAAGCTTTTTCCTTAAAATTGTCCCTCAGAGCTGAGATGAATTTAATTTCAGACAGATTGCATTTGTATGCAGATATTACACAGTATTTCCCCAGCCTTGTTATGGAAGCAGCAATTACCCTGAAGCCATTTCCTCGCTATGAACATGGTGTTGTCTGTGAAGCAAAGGGAAACATATCAGACCAGCTTTAGCCGCAGAGCTTCTAATAACTGCTCCTGGCTGCAAGTTCTTGTGCTGCTCCGTTCATTAAAGCAATGCAAACATGCATGTTCATACTGAGGATGGTTAATATAACTGATGAGGACCATCATACAAACAAGCTCGTTACATATCTGTTCATCTGGATAATTTAATGGAAGCCTGCAGCAGCTGTTGTGTCGATGTTGTTCCTCTTAAAGTAATTTGTTTTTATATTGAGAGTGATTTTTCTCAGTTAACTTAACAACTGTTAAATTTGAAGTTTAAAATTGTTTGTAGCTTCCACTTCAATATGTAAACTCCAACCACTGTCATGACTGTAAAGTTTCTGTTGCCTCTTAACCTCTGCCTGTTGAAGCCGCTGTCAGGAATAACTGAAAACACGTCTCTTCTTCTTCTTCTTTTCTCCACCAGCTCTTCCACTCCTACCCACCGGCCATGTCTGGCCTGCCCCCTGTCATTCCTCCCACTGGGCCCTTCAGCTCGCTGCAGGGAGCCTTTCAGCCCAAGGTAAGACACACATTGACACCCACGCATCAACGCTCACAAACGAACACAGCGATCGGCTGGAAATGAGCTCTCTGCTGACTGTCTCGTTTGCATCTGTGTCTGGTGCTCTCTCTAGACCTCAAATCCACTGGATGTGTCCACGAGACCTGGAGCCGTCCCACACACATTCTTACAGAAGGACCCCAGGGTAAGAGTGTGGGCATGTACACAAATACACACTCACAAACATGCACGAAAAAACAACATCCCAACACTGAGACTTCAACACATATCGTTGTATAATCGTTCAAGTTCATTTAAGATAAGATTTTCATCCTCATGTTACAGAAGTTCGTGTGTACAGCGTTTTGTTTTACCTGTCCTCAGTCGCCATTGTTAGCATGGTTGTTCAGAGTCCATTATTTCTTTACCCAAAAATATGCTGATCTGATGGAGAGTTTGACTTGAAACTCAAACTTTGACTCAAAGACAATTAATCCTTTCTCTCTTTGTCCTTCTCTCTTCTAAAGCTAACAGATCCGTTCCGGCCAGTTCTTAGGGTGAGTTCTGCACCACAAACACACACACGTGGAGACAGCAGGACAAACTCTGGATCTGAAACTGTGCTCTTTTTACAGATAATATATTAAGGGCAACATGTTAATTTATCAGATTTAACTTTTATAGATTTTCTAACAGAATGACGTCTTCTGTACATCCAATACTTCAACCGTCCTTTCACTTATTGTTGTTGCTCTAATACTGTGTATGACAGTAAGTTAGTGCTGGCTAAAAGGATGACTGACACAGTTGTCAAATGGATTAGATTGTCTTAAACTATTTTAGATTACATTAAATTTGATTAGATTACATTTAACTTTATTGATCCCACACAGGGGAAATTAGCAATGGTTAGTTGGTTTTAGAAGTCGCAGCTCCTGACGTGTTCTACAAGCCACCGTTAGGATGTACATGAATGATGACAGTCCACCAGCTGCATGCAGCAAATTTTTCAGTTGTAGTTTTGCACAATATTCTCGACATATTTCCCTGTTAATAATCCCATCATTTCGGTTCATCATAGAAAAAAAGGCATCTAGGTTAAATTGGATTAATTGTGATTAATTGACATTTCACCCTGTGATTAATTTGATTAAACATTGTAATAATTTCACGGCTAAAATAGTAAAAGGGAATTTCAAGACCCAAACATTATCTTTAGTTTGTTTTGCTCTCTGTGATCATTAACAAACACTAACTGTTTAAAACAACACATTTCTAAAGAAGGTGATTGACACGGCAGCAACAGTTACTACAGAACTGTCCTGTGCCATTTCTCCAGCACTGACTCCATCTGTAAATAGTATTTGACGTGGCCAGTACTTCTGAGTATCACTGTCAGTTTTAGATGACCTGAGAGGCATGTGGTAATCTTATTTTCATATCATCAGATCCACCGGATGGTGTTTAATAGTGTGGCTTCTCCATACACTGTTATATCCATTAACAGTTGTATTAAAATACAGTTAGTATCAGATTTTAGATAATGGCAGGAAGCCATCTTCTTATCCTCTAAGCAGCTGAACACACAAGAGCTCAGAGAAATGGGAGACTGTCACTGTTATCTCTGAATGTGTAAAATGAAAAATGTCCCGTCGTGTTTCCATCTGTCATGCACTGCATTTTTTCATGACATATTTTTTTTGTGCTGACAGAAACCTGGGAAGTGGTGTGCCATGCATGTCCATATCGCCTGGCAGATCTACCACCACCAGCAGAAAGTGAAGGTGAGAATTCATCTGACTTCTTTCTTTTTGCCTTAAGGCTGCGGTTTTCAGAAAAGTGTGTTTTAGTAGTAGTAGTAAACACAACAAATGTAGTCTGTCTCTCATGAAGATAAATTTAACATCCCAGTCCAGCAGTTCCTAAATATTTTTCTCTTCTTCTTCCCATCCAAATTGACACACCCTCAACTCACCATACCTTGAAAAAAAACACACAACAAGACTTCTTATAAAGGCTGCCTGTTTAATTACGTCCAAATGACCAGAACACATATATAACACACATATGTATAGTCTGCATGTATTAATTATTATTTTTTGGTATTTAATTTTACAAAGGAAATGTTTATTTACACATCTTTATTGTGTGGAAAAATTCCACTTAAAAAAACGTTCCAAACCGCATTACATTTTTATCTCGCGCCCCCCCCTAGTGGCAGCTGAAGCTCCCTGTTCTTGACCATAAGCAGTAGGTACAACGTGGTTGTTTTTCCCACTAGGTTAGCATGTGGGTAATTACAGCAGGAGAACAATGGCGGCTCGTCACTGTGTATCCAGTACTTACAGCCAACAATGCCATGACTTGCCATTCTTATGAAAACATTGAATTTACCCTGCGTTTAAAAACTACATTTAATCATCTACTTATTTTTAATTTGTGTTACGGAAAAGAAAAGCATTTTATTTAAAAAGTCACAGTAATCAGTCTCCTGCATGAATTTCTTTTTTTCTTTTTTTTAATGGTTGGCAAAAAATAAAATAAAATGTACAGGTATAAGTTGGCATACATTTCTAGTTACCTTTTAAAAAAATTGATTACTTTTTGCGTGAATAGAATAATTTTGTATTTTCACAAACTGTGTGTGTTGCTGTGTTTTACAAAATGACTTGCTTCACCGCAGCACGGTGGAAGTTCTCGTGACCTCAGTATACAGTATTTTTATTTGGTATGCGGCTGTTGGAGTATTTTCCATTGATATAAACTTGTTAACATAGTTGAAGTTGCCTTTACTGTACCCCAGGAGCAGTTAGAGGTGTTGGTTAGGCTGGTAATTACAAAGACAGATGACTTAAGGGAATATTCTTTTTATTTTCTCCATTTCCTTTCTATTATGCTGAGATGTAAAAACAAGCGGTGACTTACTCAGTCAGCTAGTTTAAAATGACCAAGTTCAGTAGTTGTACTGTTAAGAAAAAACATCTGTTCTTGTATCCTTCAGTATAGTATTACTGAGATGTCATGACCATATGTATTTGATCAATCTAAATCTAAATTGTACAGCGATTGTCCAGAGTCATCTGCAAAGTGGTTTTACATGTTATTCTCTCCTGCTCTGGCGTCTTCCAGCAGCAGATGCAGGTCGACCCTCACAAGCTTGACTTTGGCCTTAAACCCGAGTTTCTGAGTCGACCTCCAGGCCCTGGCCTCTTCGGCGCCATCCATCACCCCAGCGACCTGGCACGGCCCGCTACACTCTTCTCTGCGGCAGGTGAATATGTCACGTTTATTGATGGTTGAGCTCAGCAGCCTCTGACAAGCAGCGGCGGTGGCTTATGCCCAGACTAAACAGATCAGTCTTTATTCAACATCCTTGCATTTGGTTGGCTGTTATTTGGAGCTGAGAGTTAAACATTAACATGATGGAATCTCCTGAGACCTAAAAAATAAAAATAAACACGCCAAATAATTTTTTAACAAACATTTGTTCATGGGGATGGGGGGGTGTTTGCTGTAATGTGTTGTAAATGAAGCTTGAATGTTGTTCCACAGCCATGATCACACTGCTGTAATAAGGGCCTTCACATTTAATTGAATTAAATAACATTAGATTAAGAAGTCCAACTCAGTCACATCAGCCGACATGAAAGGCACAGGCCTCATGACTTTAACTAAGACCAGCCACCAGAGGGTGCTCAGGCTAATTAGGTTCAAGTGTCATGTCTTCACTCACTCCTTATTAGTGAAGGCAGTTCTGAAAATGAAGAGCAGATGACAAACTGTGCACTTGTGACACTCTTCTATTAGAGCTGGTTTTTCCATTACTCTGAATTACAGCTTAGAAACAACACAATTATGGCTTTACACAGAGCAGGCTAGAGTCATACCATGTACCTTTGGGGTATTCTGTATATAACTGGTAATACGTGTAATGTTGGAACTTGGTATTACAAAAAAAATACTATGTTTTTCATACAATGCATGCAAATGCTGTAGTTTGGTACTTGGTGGTTTTAGAATCAAGGTGGATGGTTTTAGTAACACTTGCGTGCTGGTACGTACTATGTGAAAAAAGTTGTTGAAAAAAGGTGTGTACATGTTGTTGTTTTATCTAAACTAGTAATTTTTTTTATTCAGAGCCAGCACACTGCCATGGCATTTCAACCATAGCACTTTGACATTACATTATTTCTCAGTTCTGAAATATTTCACTTTATTTTCAAGTGTAAACCTGCAGCCAAGTGGTCACAAATCAAAAGTCTCCACAAACGCAGGTCTCTCCTTCAAGTACACTTTTATTCATACGTGTACCAAAGATGCTCAGTTATATTTGGTTTAATTATATATTAGGTAGAAACAGGGAGCTACAGCAGTAAAACCATTATATTCTACTGTGTAGATCACAGATGTTCATTTCCAATGACCTTCAGCGACAGTGTCCTGTTTTAACTATATCTAACTTGTCTCCCTCCCCAGGTCCTACTCACCCATCCGCAGGTCCCTTCAGTCATCCACCCCACCATCCAGGACACTTCCTTACCCCACCATCTCACTTAGGTAAGGCAGCTCTTCAGTTTACCTTCTCTCTGTGTCATATGTGAGCAGATCGTTAAGTGTGAAGTGGTCACATGTGGTAACACAACATTCTTTTGCTGTAGAACCCTACAGTAGACCATCAGCCTTTGGAGGTCTGGGGTCACTGAGTTCATCTGCATTTGGAGGACTGGGAAATCCAGCACTAAGTGAGTTTTAGCCTTGTGAATAACACAGTTGTTGTCTTACACCCTATCACTGCAGGTAGATTTAGGATAGTGGTAAAATATTTTACTGAGTGTTAATAAAAAGGTCATTTAAATGGACCAGTGACTGGGATGTTTTGATACGCATTTAACTTGTGTCCCTGTGTTTTTCCACGTGTTGAATCCCTAACAGCGGCTAACTCCCTATTTGGCCACAAAGATGGGCCAAACGCACAGCAGCACTTCAACAGCAGCAGTAACAACAGCCACCAAGAGCCTTGGAACCGCCTACACCGAACACCACCCTCGTTCCCCACCCCACCACCTTGGCTTAAACCTGGAGAGTCTGAGAGAAGCGCCTCTGTCAGCTCCCATGAGAGAGACAGAGACTCAGACAAGAGAGAGCCGCTGGTCAGTAAAGACGACAAGGACAGGTATGTTCAGTACCATGAGTCTTTGCTTCAGCGTGCAAGACGTTAGGAACATTAGTGTAAACTCCAGTGTAATGCCAAAGTCACTTTTTGTCATTAATTACCATCTGCTACGACTGTTTTTTTCAATAGGGATTCTGTAGAGAAACGTCACCTCAGTCATCCATCACCTGTCTCGGTCAATCCCATCAGCCTCCTTGGCCACAGCAGACCTCCTGAGCCCCACAGGAACCATTTGCCTTTAGCATCTGGAGAGGCTCTGAGAGACAAGGAGAACAAGGTGAAGGACAGAGACAGAGACCATTCAGAGTCCTGGAAAGACAATGGCACAGATGAGCACAAGCTCAAAGACAACCAGCACAGTGAGAAGGACACTCCTGTCATCCACGACAGCCGGGTCTCGGAGGACAAAGTCTCTGGCAGGGGAACGGCGTCACCCTACATCCGTCAGACCAGTTTAGAACGGCCCAATAGTGGCCTAAGCAGGGAGATGTTGGAGAAAAAGGTGGAACCTCCCTACGAGCACCAGAAGAAGAGCAGTGAAGTCAAAGTAAAGGAGGAGAGAAAAGAGGAGCAGGACCCAGCCTTAGAAAGGCCGAGTGAGCACCCAGCACAGGCACCGTCCACACCAAACCTTCACGTCCCTCCCACCTCAATGCCCACACCTTTGGGAATGGCAGGCGTCCACCCTATCAACAGTATGGGCAGCATGGAAAGAACTCGAGTGGTGGCGCCCTTCATGGGCATCAGCCCCATCCCAGGGGCTGACAGGTTCCCCTACCCTGCCTTCCACTGGGACCCTATGAGGGATCCTTACAGAGGCCTGGACATTCACAGACGGGACCCTTTGGCCAGGGACCTGCTGCTGAGAAACGACCCTCTGCACAGGCTGGCGGCACCACGTCTGTACGAGGCCGAGCGTTCCTACAGGGACCGCGAGCCGCATGATTTTAACCGTGAACACGCCCATTCTCTCGCCCTGGAGCAAAGGAGGGAGCAGGAGCGTGCTCACATGGAGGAGCGTGATCGCCTCAACATGCTCAGAGAAGACTATGAGCACGGTCGCCTTCACCCCGCGATGCACCACCATGCCCTCGATGGACACCTTCCACACCCGGCTCCCGGCCTTATGGCCCCTGGCCTCCCGGGGATGCACTTCTCCAGAGTCAGTCCCTCAGCTGTAGCTGCTGCAGCAAATGCCCATCAGAATGGCCTCCTCAACAAAACTCCACCCACAGCCTCACTGAGTGCCCCGCCCCCTCTCATTCCTACACTGGGTGCCCGGTCCGGCTCGCCTAGACGGACTACTCCCCTGGCCACAGATATCAGGGACAGGCCAGCTCACAAAGACATCGAGGCTCGATGAGCTGCCTCTTCCCCCGACCTCACCCAGCCCTGTGCCTCATTAACACTGAACTCACACCAAGCACTTAGCTCTGGGCAAAGAAAGATTGTAACATAGCTGTGAATAAGGTATGTGGACTGAGACCTGCCCACACAATAAATTGTTTTTGTATAGAAATACAAAGAGACAATAATCGTGGAACACAAACATTTTTAAGAGTTTTTTTCCCCCCAATTTTGCTCCAGCTGTTTGTGCCCATTGTACAGCAAAGTGACTGGGAGTAGAAATGAACAATTCTGGAATGTACAGGTACTTCAGCACTGACGTCAAAGTGTGTAGATAATGTGTACAGTCGCAGTGCTCTCCCTGTATGGATTACAAATTATGGTACAAATATGCAAAAGGGTTTTTTGAAAGCTTTACTTTGAACAAATGTAAACCTGAGAATTAGGGAGATTCAGATCGTGCTTGCTGTTTGTTTTTTTGTTGTACTGATGAGCATTGTACCAGAGAAACCCATATTCAACTATGCAACAAACATCTGGACCCCCTGTTTATAAGCTGGCCTTCTTACTGCTACTGATCAAACCGATGACAGACACACAGCTGCATTCTCTCCACAACTCAACCATCTCTGCAAAGAAAGACGAGCTTTAATTGATACACAGCCTGGAAAAGGTTAGCAAAAATTACCTTCATGCTACATTGACAATATTGTGTTGACAATATATTGTGTTGACAATCTTAGAAAAGCTGACAAATGTTCTACATTTCAGTTTTATTTTTATTGAAAATGTCAGCAGCACACGTGTGACCATTTTTAAAAATGTTTTCTTTTTCCACTCAGTTACAGTAGCAAAGCTGTTGTTGTGGAGGGAATACAGCCCAGTGACATCGTCACACCACATTAGCCCTGCTGGAAGAGTGTAAAGAACATGTTCTGGAAATGGGTTCTGTTGGTCCTACAGTGTAATAAATAAAGTGCTTTCTACAGTTGATGTACCTACGAAATGAAACCAGAAAAAAAAATCAAGTCAATTGCTGAGGACAGTTTGTTTCTAACAGGCAGAGATCTATTTTAGTAGTCCACTCTGGTTTAGTTGTACGCTTCACACTCTATGATATCATGTTCTGCAGTGTTTTTAACCCGACAAAAATGACCACCAGAGCCACAGTGGTTAGTTCAAACATGTTTCAAAAAGATTGTAAAATAAACTTTTTTGCTGTTTACTGTGTACAGGGAAAAAATGAAGTCTTTCTAGATCATGTACAAAAGTAAGAAAAAATGAAGTTACTGAATCTTCAGCATGCTCCTCATTTAAACTTGTGTTATGTAAATTGTGCCATGTTATTAAAAACGGTGTACTTACCCTCTCTGGTTTTCTTCCTTCACCATCGTAAACTAACAATCTTACTTCATTTCTTACAGACACTCAAACATCAGAATCCCAGGAGGATGAACTGATCCAGTGCAGCAGCTCTGATAAATATTTTAGCCGCTATTGCTGGTTTAGTTATAAAGAAGCTAGAAAAAATGCAACCATTTTATAGTTATACTACTGTACAATTTAATTATCAGTCACTTGAGTGACTATTTTTACTCCAGTGCTGAATCAATGTAGAATTTCAGGAAGTAACTACTAAGAACATAATTTCAGTTCAGTCTGTTGCTACATGATGCCAGCTTTTTAATCAAATATCTACTTTTGGGTTGTTTTTTAAATGTTGAGATTAATTTTATTTTTTTAAGTCTGAATATATATAACGTAAGTCTGAAGTCTGATCTATCTGTCTGTCTGTCAGTCTATCTATCTATAAATTCATATACATTTTTTCTCCTTTTTTATATTAGGGCATTTTCAAGGTGTGTAACGGGGAACCTTGTTAATGTAAGCGGAACATCCCACTTCCGCCGGAACATAATTGTGATGGGACACAATCGTTGGTCGCCACAGTCAGCAGTTAACACGGACACGCCTGGGGAGCGGCAGCCAAGTTTTAAATGGCAGGTAAGTAAAGAGACACTGGGTGACCCAGCCGACGTCGACGCCCTTGTTTTTACACGCGAGTCAGGATTTAAAAACTAAAACTGTGGCGGAGCAAGACCGTCATTAGGACTAGCCTTCGTCTGTGTTTACATAGCGGCGTTACCTGTTGTGGATGATGCACTATTTATTTTAATGACAACACAATATATATAAATGACGTCGACTTTAATTACGGTGGACCTGCGTTCTGGCAAGTTCTATGTATATATATATATATATATATATGATTTTTCAGTCAATTTTATTGTACATCCACATGTCTTCTTGTAGTACAGACAACGTACTGATTTTCCTGTACCGCTACAGCCCTAGTGTAGTGTTGGAGATACTCAGGATATATAGAGAGAAGAAATGGGTATGTATGTTATACTTACTTATATTTATATATATTATATTTATATAATATATATACAGTAGTATAGTTTGGCAGCTTATTATAATTAATAATTTACCAGCTTAATATATATACAGTATATATCTCAGAACCTTCTGCATCAGAGGCAGATGTCACAGCCAGCAAAATGTATCAAAAATTGTTCAATGTCAATTTTTCACTGAGCAGTTTGTCTTTCTTGTTGTAATGGTATTTTGGAAATTTATTTGTAATTTTAAAAATGTTGTCTCTTCTCCAGCCTGCTTTGTAATACATTAATTATTAATATTAATTATTAAAAATCCTAATATGAGAGGTAAAAGTTGAGTTATTGAGATATTATTTATCGATGGAAATAAATGACCACAACCTTTTTTAAGTATTAATTTAAAGTCAGCGCCCTTATTTTCAGATCATGTCATTTGTTTTTTCAAACACAAGGTGGCGTCATTGTTCACTTTATTATTGTGAGGCGATAGAAGAAGACATAAAGATTAGACACTTAGCAGGAAGCAGGAAGAACACGGTGAATGTATCACCTCACCTAGAACCAGTTCAGCAAGCTGACGTCCTCTGACCCGCAGCAAATGTTTGCTTTTAAAATGAACGCCGTCATCACGACGCATGAAGCCGAACTGGTAGGACAACACCACACTATAAAGAGCTGGTTGTGTTGGTTTTCTTTGTGTACGTTTGAGCCGAGCTCAGAAACAAATACAGCTATTTTCATTAGTCAGCTGTTTCAACCAAACAGCCTTAAAAATCTTTGCTCATCTCAGTATGCACTGTTTTAGCACATACATTTTGTTGGGTTTTTTTGTTGTTGGCTGTGAAAAAATATTTAAATTAAAAAGGAACTTGAAAGGCTACAGATAAAGAGACATAATAAGAAACAAATACCACTGATGTGTGTTTTATTTCAAATGTAATTTCTGTTAATGTTTTTAATATTAAGCTATGGTTGTTCCTGATTGCCTTCAATTTTTAAATATTAAGTTTGGCCAGTTTTTGATGCCCACTGTGAATTTGAGTTTGATACTCTTGGCTTAAAGGCTTCTCTCCCTGCTGACGACACTTTTAATCACAACCAAACAAATGAGCTAGGCCACTCCTAAAAATACTTTGCTGTTTTTAAATTGAAACACATCCCATTTTTAGTTGTAACGTTTTTCGGCTGTTTCCATTAAGCTGCTGGGAAAATATTAAACACAGAGTTACCAGTGCTGTGTCGTCATTCATCCTGGGATGGATGGTTTAAAGAAGGCTAACACATCCATGTGAAAGATGAAGGTCAATAGTTCCACCTTTTTTTACACTGTGGGTTCAAAAGAGTACAAATCACCCCTAAATACTGCATTAATGTATAATGAATTATAATGTACAGCCCAGGGGTGAAGCAGAGTGAATTAACATAAGGACTTTGACATACAGTATGTGTATGAATAATCCTTCACACTGGCTGCTCACAGGAGTTTTAGTCTCTCTGACACACCCTGGATACTTTCTTCAGAATGCAGGATTTCTTTCGTAGTTTTATTGTTATTCAAAGTTTTAAGCAGGTGTATAAATTGTATTGGCCCTCACGTTATTGTAGCCTTTTTTTTTCAAGGTGTCAAAGTTAATACGGACCGAGTTCTGATTCTTAGCTACATTAAAATGCAGAAAACATGAACAAAAAACCTCTGGGTCGCAGACCACCAGCAGTGCCATACCTCCCTCTACCACAGACCTGGACAGAGAGGGCCGCTGTGGCTGCAGGTTTTTCTTCCAACCTGTCCAGAACACACTGACTGACCAATCAGCTGTCTGAAGACTCATGGCAGTTGATTAAATAAGTCAAGACAGGTGTGCTGCTGCTTGGTTGGAACAAAAACCTGCAGCCACCGTGGCCCTTTGTGGACCTAATTGCCCACCTCTGCTCTACCAGGTGGCCAAGCCCCTGGACCTGTTCTGTCAGGACAGGTAGCTTATATCCTTTCTAAAAATTTGTAAAAAAAAAAAAATACACTTAGTTGGCTGGAAAGAATCTAATGTACTTGAGAATGAGTTTCAGAATATTTAAATATTTGGCTACAGAAAAAGAGGTGATAGTGTAAATAGTCGCCTTTGTTTTGAAGCCCACTGTAGCTACTGTATGCCGCACACAAAAAAAAATTGCATTGAACGTTTGAACCTCCCACATCTCTGTGAATATTGTTGTTTGAGGTAATTGAGCTGATGGGTGTTGGCAGGGTTCTATATGGGAATTTAATCCCCTTATGGGGCTGCAGTTTCTAAAGATATCATTTCACGCAGTGTAGTCAAATGTACTGTAGTAACAAGCTGGAAACACTACAGGAGCTGTGTGTCTGTTTACACCCTGCTGCTGAGGAGAGGGGGTGGGAGAGGGGCGGGGTGCTGGCTTGTTGTAGTCAGGAGTGAAGCAGGGATGTTTTCACACTGCCGTGACCTTTCAAAGACAAACACATGGCAACACCCAATCTGGACATTATCAAAATCACTATCTGGTAAGGACGAAATTAAAACAAAAAAAACAAAAACAAGCACAGTGTCAAAACGTTCTCCCATAAATGAAAATGTGTCCTGCCTAAAAATAGTCACCAAATATATGAGACCGTGTTTTTTTTTTGTTTTTTTGGGGGGGGGGGTGTCAGTACAGAGGAGACTGGTATTACAGTATCTTTGGGTGCAGACATAGTGTAATTTCATCCAAAATGTTCACACCTGCAGCCGAATATAACAAAGCAGAAAGTGGCTGCTGTTTATCACTGCTACACCAGAAGCCTTCCCACATCACTCATCAGACTGGAGACCTTCAGACATGTTGTATTTCTAGTTCTACTTGTTATCTGAATGCTGTGTTTAGCTTAGATTGTGTCAGAGAGCCACAGAGAGAGAGTTTAGTTATATTTTTAGGAGATTTATGAAACATATTATTATTGGTATTGTTATCATTATTATTATTAATAACACTTATTATTATTATAAATAATAATAATAATTTAGATCTTAGTAAACCTACAAAGCTATGTGCCTGTGTTCACACTGTGGGTAAATGATATCCAAGAGTGTTCTCTCTGATTGCTTTCCTACATATGGGTCTTTTTTTTCCAGTTAAATATGTTGTGTTTATCACGCTAACCCAGACATTAACCGACCATGACAACAATGCAGCCTAATCCTACAGGTCTATTCATTAGTTTCCACCGCAGTGGTATCAGTCGACCTTTACACACCTGATGCAGCGGGGCCTCATTAGCTGAGATTTACTTCCACCAGTTCACACTCATAACCTTCTATTTATTCAGAAGCTGCTTCTCCGTCCTGCACCAGAACATTTCAGTCAGGTGGTTCTGTTAGAACACAATTAAAACCTTATTACTCTCACGCTCTCGCCTGGTGGTTGTTTTTCCAAGATAATGCCACATATGGGCAGCTCAGGGGCTAACACTATTTTTAATGAGAAGAAGCTGATGTGTGGGTGTAGAGACCGAGTCGCTGAGAATAACAGTGCCTTCTGACTGTCATTGATGGTTGCTAAACCTTTATTTAGTGTAAAACAAGGACAAACTTAACAACATATCAGTACAAACTGCGTCCGTTTTTTTGGCCAAGCTCAGTCACAGTCAGTTTTTCTCAGGTTGTCAGGTTTGGTAATAAAACATGGACTAGCGGCCTAGGTTAATTGGTACATTATAATTGACCACGTGTGTCTTATCTTCCAGATGTATCCAGATCCTGCTTGATGGACGAACGAACGGATGGATGGACGGATGTAGAGATGGATGTGTGGAGAAGACATATGACTAATGGTGAGTCTGATCAGTGTCCATTGTTCCAATATGCAGCTTCCCCAATTTCACAGTTATAACTTGTACACAGTATACATTTACTAAGAATAATTTGTAAAATGTATAATATCTAATATTGTGTCATTGGTGTCTTTAATGTAAACACATTGAAGCTGTAGCCGTATCTGATTCAAATATATCCTATTGGACTCCTGTTCGACCGCTCGTCTCATGTAGATATGTGCTAGACCTCGCCACAATCGACAGCTTGCAGCAGGCACGTGTGGGTTGGTGTATCATGTGTCTCATTTAACACCTGTGACCGCTGGGGTGCTGTGTGGAAGGAAGGTTTCCACTCTGTGAAGGTAGCCTGTGATACGTGTCCAGCATAGAGAAGAGACTTTGTCTAATTGCTTGCCAGGAAATGGCCTGCAGTAGAGAGGGTTTGCATCACAAGTGCAGAAGGTATGCTCTGTTCTGTTAAATCCTCACCCTGACCTTTAGCCCCGCTCTGGCCATTCTGAATGATACTATTGCACATGGATGCACATGCTCGCCGCTAATAGGTTTGAACGTACACACTGACCGACAATAAGACAGAGACACACGCACGCACAGGATATATCACTGACATTGCGGCGGTGATAACAGAGATGACCCCAATCATCAGAGCGAGAAAAAGGGAAACTGAGAACTATTCCCCTGCCAAGGCCACATTTTATTGCAAGCCTGCCTTGTGCCCTCTTGATGACATGGCATTGAAGGTTGATCACCTATAATGTAGTCCAGCATAGGTGAGGATTAAAAGTACAAATCACATCAGAAACTGACCTAAGATGTACTGTGTCACCTCCATCCATATAAAGTATACTATAATATAGTATTTTACTGTTACCAATAGTTGATATACCAAAAAAGTATATATTTTCCTGAATTTGAACTACAAGAATGTCCATTGTAATGTATTTTAAAGCAAATTAGTGCATTTTTGTTTATTTTTGAGAAACTTTTGAAGATTTTTTTGGGGAAATTATTAGTATACGATTTTACTGTTATCAGTAGTTGAGGTAACAAAAGTATGTTTTTTCTGAATTAAAACAACAAAAATGGACATTGCTGTGTATTCTAAGGCAAATGAGTGAATTTTTATTCATTTTTGAGAAACTTTTATTTTTGAAGATTTCTTCAGAATCTTATTGGTATAGTATTTTACTGTGATCAAAAGTTGGTGTACCAAAAAAGTATAGCATTTTTATTCATTTTTGAAACTTTTATTTTTGAAGGTTTCTTCAGGTAATTATTAGTATACTGTTTTACTGTTATCAGTGTTTAAGGTACCAAAAAAGTATATATTTTTTTCTAAATTGTAACCATGAAAATGGTCATTGATATGTATTTTAAGACAAATTAGTGTATTTTTAGTCATTTTTTAGAAACTTTTATTTTTGAAGATTTGTTCAGGAAATTATTAATATACTATTTTACTGTTATCAGTGGTTGAGGTACCAAAAAAGTATGTTTTCCCAATATTAACCATGAAATGGTCATTGACATGTATTTTGAGGCAAATGAAAACTTTTTTTTGAGAAACGTTTATTTTTGAAGATTTCTTCAGGAAATTATTAGTATAGTATTTTATTGTGATCAATGTTTAAGGTACCAAAAAAAGTATATTTCTTTCTGAATTGTAACCATGAAATTGGCCATTGCCAAGGCCGGATAATCTGGACTTTTGGGGGGTCTCCCTATGGTCCGACCCATGTCAAGCTTGGTCTGAAAGTAGCCTACTAAATATGCGTGTAGCTACTTAAGAGTTTAGTGTAAACCTAACAATAGAACACCTTTCTGTTGGGAAGACAAATGCAATTTTGATTTCAAATGACTGCTCCTGTACAAAGATAAATAATAAAGTAAATAATAATAAATAAATAAATAATAAGCTCTATTTAGAACCTTCTTAAAATCCAACAGTGCAAAATATAAATTCTGCAATTTCTTAACTGGACTTTAGATTTTGATCAGGAGTATATATATATATATATATATATATATATATATATATATATATATAAATATATATATAAAATGACTACGTCAACTGCAGGGGGCGGGCTGATATTTTGTATAACGGAAATAGGAATACGTTGTACTGTCCTTATTTCCGGTTGTGAATCCGTCGCATGAGAAACGAGTGTTAGCCGTTTGGGCTTCCAGCGGGCGTGCAAGTCAAAAAACTGGGCTCGGTGGCTACATGTGATTGACTGAAATGGTGGGTTTTTGAAAACAATTGTCGGCTGTATTTTGTTTGAAATGGTAGTCGCTCGGTCGAGACCGTTTTGGTGCGATTTACGCTAGTATGTGTCTCGGCAGCTAACGTTAGTTTTTGTCAGAAGTTAAAACGATTCGTAGTTAGTTTTTCGTCCTAAATAATGAACATAGAGTCGTCGTGGTAAATAAGATTTGACAGAGGTTTGAGCTGGGCTGATGCACCTTTTTGAAAATATGAAATGAACTTGCAAATATTGCTTTTCTTTACAGATATCATCCTACTGCAGAGCCACGAACGGTCCATCACTCCGATCAAGTACAACCGAGAAGGAGACCTATTTTCCGTCGCTAAAGATCCAGTGAGTGACATGGAATGATTGCATGATAGTAGCGTAATTAGTTTGATGTCAAGAATATGGAATGTCCACGTGAAGCTACAAATGGCAACACGACTCTGCCAGTCGAGTAGCAGAGTAATCTCTGCTAGTTTCGACTTGGAATTGTTACAAACATAAGCCTACATGCTCTATAGTGTGTGATATGAAAGTCATTATAATTATGAAAAGGATAAACGACTGAGGCCAGCAGAATTGATTTTTTTTTTCATTCAGATTAGTAGTAGTAGTGCAACATAATTTTGGTCCTGAGATTATTGGTGGCGCCAATAGTGTAGATCAAACCAATAATTTGCAAAGTGAAGCCATGGTTGGATTTAAGCCTTTTAATATTTACCTTCAACATTGTCTCCCCACACAGGTGGCCAACTTATGAATCAGTATCTACAACGGACACATGGGAGCTGTGCGATGTGTCGACTGTGACTGTATCCTTCATGTTATTTAGCTTGGTATGCTGCCGTAAGTTGATATCACTAATTATTAGCAATATGAAGGCCCTAGCATTTCCTGAGTAGTGTCAGAAAATGAAAATTTCATGTCCGTGAACTCAAACAAACACAATAAACAAGGGAAGACTTGCGTATAGCAACAATTTTATTATGTTAAAGGTGATGTCATGCAACAGCACAGTGTTGTGAAACCAGTAAAAGCATTATAATTGTAATATTATGATTAATTGTCTGACAGTTATTGTCCCAAGTAAATGTGTAAGAATGACACAGTTGACCCTAGCGTACGCTCATGAATTTCTGCCACGATACATGCTACGTTCCCTAACTGGCTCTTCTCAGGGGACACCAAATATGTTTTGACAGGATCAGCTGACAACAACTGTCAACTGTGGGACTGTGAGACTGGTGGGTGAAAAGAAAATGCATGTGTTTAGATAGATAGAAGTTTCTGAATCCCTTGGGAGTTCTAGCAGCAGTACAGCACCAAAACAACAATAAAAATGCACAAATAGGTAATATAAAACATGAGTAGCAGCACACTGTCCATGAATAGTAGTAAGAGGTGGATAGATTAATGTTAGTAGTATTAGTAGGTAATTATTGTTGCTGTGTGTGGTGTTGATTGCAATCTATCTATAACAAATTATATTTGTTATACTATTGTTATTCTAAATTAAATTGGTATGATGTGTATGTATAGTAAAGTATACCACGTTATACCTATGATATGTATATATAAGCAGAACTAGTGTAATTATAAGGATGTTATGTGAACAAGTTTATAAAATAATATATGAAATATATGCAGTGTAAATAGAGTAACTTGAGTAGTGAAATAATGAAATAATTTGATTCAGGTTCGATTTTAGCGGCAACATCATGTTTTCCCCGGACGAGCAGCTGGGCTGTCAGTGTTTCATGAACTCAGTCGACCTGAGGGATCCACAGATCGGTAGGTAATCGTCACACGCAACGTAAACATATTAATACCGTAAAAGAAACAAGACGGCAGATAGTACATGGCTTCCTGATTACTGCTAAAGAAATAGTTTGCACACAGTATTATAGAAATGAAAAAACTTAAGGAAATAATGAATCACAGACGGCATCTTTTGTAGAGTTTGTGATAATGAGAAACATTTTTTGTTGTTTATTTGTCAACGTTCCAGAGAAGTCCTGAAGAAAGCTAAGGAGCACAGCAGGCACATCAACACCATCCAGACGTCTGTAGACCTCACCATGTTCATCAGTGCCTCAATGGACAACACCACCAAGGTGAGAACTCTTCTGTAAATGGTTGCTGTGATAACAGTTGTTGAGATTGTTGTTAGAAATAAAGTCATCAGAATGACACCTGGCTGGCCATCAACGAGAACGTCCAGAGAAGAGTTTAGTTTTTAATCTTAAAAATGAAACCTGAGTTTGTAGTTTTTGAAGGTGACTATAGAGAATAGTTGTGTATGAAGATGCTCAGTCATCCAGGTTAAGGTTGAAGAGTTCTGTTATGCAACTGGACGTGACATTTTCTCAAGAAGACATTTGGCTTCTCATCCAAGAGGCTTCTTTAGTTCTAACTGGTAGAGGGGAGTACAGCTAATATATACTGTGGGTGTGACAAAAAATAAAGCTACTTTAGGTCCCTCCTGTCGGGTGGGCCGTCTGGGTCATCTAGGGAAGTGTTAACAGTCTGATGGGTCGTTGTAATCTTTCTCAGAATGGTTTCGGTATGTGGGTGATGTCTTAGCCCACCTCCTCTGTTGAGTGAAAATTTCATGTCCAGTTGCCTAAAGGAAGTCTTCAACAAAGAAAAGAGTTGTTTTCCTTTTAACTCTTGTACTTGTCAACAACAACAGAAATAGGTGAATGATAAATGCATTTAAAGATATTTATTGATAATTTGTTATACAAGTATGTGTAAACTGAGGTAAACATTGACAGTTTACTGGGGGTTATAAGGAGATACACCAGAAAAAAAACCACACAGTAGTAGGTGTGGTTACTTTGAGTGTGTCTGCTTGTTAATTTATTCACAATGACATTTTCCTTCAGTCACGGCCTGTTGGTCAGTCTGTCCACACTACAGACCTTATAATGTGAATCCGCTGACTTATGTACTTATAGTGAAATAGACTTTAGAATATTTGAAGTACATCTTAAAAGAAATGAGTGGTACAGTTTGAAATGAACTCTGTCTGTTGTTTTGTGTTACTTTTGAATGTGACAGATTGTCTGTGACTTTAAGGCCTTGAAGAGAGATGGGTGCTTGAATAAAAGATTGCTTAGTTCACTTCTCACTTTGTGAGGCTGTTAAAGGCTCTACCTCAGCCACCCAGATAGAATAGAATAGTCTTTATTGTTATTGTAACACGGGGGTACAACCTGGTTTGAGGCCAAGTGGTGTTTCCATCTAAATTCATCTAAACAAAAGAATAAGATGAAGAAAATGAAGATGTTCTTTATTCCATTGTGGTGTTAGCATTAGCACTGAAGAAGCCACGACTTTGTTTTGTAACAAAGGCCTTTACGTAGTGATGAAATATCTGTTTAAACCATTTAATTTGTATTACTGTTAATAGTGATGTGTAAACATGTAGTTGTTATGACATTTGATTGTGCAACAGATTTTCCACTGTAGTTGTAATGTTCGCAGTGCTGTGGAAGTGACTGCTTTGTAGCTGCTTTTAAGGAAAACCTGTTTGTGTAAACATGTGGCACAATGACGTGTTCTTCTAATCTGCAGGTTCGCCACGCTGCGTACGAGGAGGAGTTTGGTAGAGTCAAAAGTCATTTTGGTCCCATCAACTGTGTGGCTTTCCACCCTTACGGTAAATGAAAACCAACTCAGCTTTTGATTATTCCAGCTTGTTCTTGTCATTCCGTTCATTGTGCCTCCTCTGATATTGTCATTAACAGCAGTGGCGGAGAAGATGGACATGTGAGGTGGAGGCCTAAAGTGTTAGGCCTGTGGACACTGCCAAGTAGAGTGAAGGAGCAACTTTATTTGAAGCAGATCACTTGTTTGCTGGACTTGTGAGTGTTTTACTGACTTGTGTAATTGCAGTGATTTTCATTGTGTAACTTAAGCTCTATTTGATTGCTATGCTATTGTCATTAACAGATACTGGAGGAGAAGATGGATATGTGAGGTGGACACAGCAGCTTGGACTCTGCCAAGTAGAGTGAAGGAGCAACTTTATTTGAAGCAGATCACTTTTGCTGGACTTGTGAGTGTTTTACTGGAACTTTTTGGCCTTTGCACTTTCATTGACAAATATTTAACATTCACTTTTTCAGAGAAAAAAGTTTTTATTTTACTTAGTTTTTTTTTTTGGCCATTGTACTTTCATTGTGATCTGTATTTGATTGTTGTAAATCTTCCAGAATAAAGAAAGTTGTTGTTGAATATTGTGTTGCTCTGCATTTATTTTCAGAAATTAAGCAAAAAATAGAAAATATAACTGGGATTTCTCTTTTTACTTTTTTATCAGCAAAACACTTCACATTTACAAAACATGGATTCAATCACAAAGTCCATAGATACACATTTAAAAACAATGCATGTCAAATTATAACAGTAACTCTTAGCTCTTACACTTCAGGTAAAGATGGACAGATCACATACTCACAACACAACTTCTATCAACCACATGTGCTCACAGGATTCAACAAAGGGCCCATCTTCAGAAGTGGAACAACTTGGTCAAACCTCTTCTTTTGGCCTGAAACACAAGATGAAATTAAGACAACATTCCATACAAATGCACTTGGATGACTACATGTTCAAAGTGTTTAGCATGTTACAAAACACTTCTATTAACCACTACAATCTACTGAAGCAAACATCTCATTTGCTTTGTGACACTACTTCGTACTCTAGAGGATTTTACATTCAACAATTCAAGTAACAAATACAGACACTCTATTTGGACAGTCAAAAACAACATTCCATTTAGCACAAAATCCTCACCCTGATTTCTCCACCTTCTCCTTCTCTTCTTTCACTTCTGCAAAGACAAAGTAAATGCAATAACATTACTACTTGTCTGGCTCCAGTCAATAAAAATGAATGAATAAAAAA